GCATCCAGGAGCACTCCCAAACTCCTGACCCTCGGCGCTGGCACCAGCGGCGCCCCACTGAAGGCTGGGAGTGGGATCCCTACCCCCGTACTGCTCCGATTCAGGCACAGGACCTCTGTCTTCATCAAATTCAATTTCAATCGACTCAGTCTAAGCCATCCAGCCACGTCCTGCAACGCCCCTGTATGCAATATATGTAAGTATCCATTTGACTCCGTGGAGAATAAAGGTTGCAGCCCAGGTCCGAGCTCCGAAGGACCTGAGACCTAGTTCTGCCCTCAGATCGGGCAATGTTCTGGCTCGGGGGATGTAGATAAAGGGATAGTGACTTACCGCTGCCCACCACCAGGCGTTGGGGATGCTGGTGAAGTCAGTGCCCGGGACGTCATGTTCCACCGAATGCATCAGGGCGGAGAAGGTGAAGACGCCCATGGCGATGAAGAGAAGGAGGCAGCAGACTTGCTGGTAGCACTGCCGGATGGTGAAGCCGAAGGCCCGCAGGCCGGTGGAGTGGCGGGCCAGCTTGAGGATGCGGAAGATGCGCATCAGCTTGATCAGCTTGAGGACCTTCCCCAGCTTGCCCATGCTGCGCATCTTGTGCAGCTCCTCGTGGTACTCCCCCTCCCCCTCGCCCAGGTTCTCGAAGAGGAGCTGGATGTAGAAGGGCATGATGGCCACTATGTCGATGGCGCTGAACGCCGCCCGCAGGAACTGCTGGAAAGTGGCGGTGGAAATGACGCGCATGAGGTACTCCAAGGTGAAGAAGATGGCGCAGGTGGCCTCCAGCTGCTCCAAGCAGTTCTTGCTGGCCTTGTGCTGCATCTCCTCGACGGTGCTCAGCGTCATCCCGACGATGGAGATGAGGACAAAGAAGCTGGACATGACGGCGATGATCTTGGCCGGGATGGAGGAGTAGGGGTTCTCGATCAGGTTCCAGACGGTCTTGCGGAAATGGCCCATACATTTGCCGTCAAAGTGCTCCCCCTTTTTCACCGGCTCCAGCTCTGCTTCCAGCTCCCGCTGGACTTTAAGGTATTCGGCCAGCTCGTCCTGTTTCTCCTCGAAGAGGATTCGGCAGCACCTCTGGGTGTACTTGATGTGGATGCCCCAGTACTCGATCTCATCGACAAAGTTGGCCGGACACAGCTCGTCCTTGATCCACATCACGCCGCTGCGGTAGAAGTGGAAGACATAGTGGAACATGAGCGGGTCGCGGTCGAAGAAGTATTCGTTCTTCAGCACCGAATAGTCGTCGCAAAGTTCCAGCTTCTTCCTGGGGTCCTTGGAGATGGCCAGCTGGCCGATCCTCGTCTTTGGGTACTTAGCAGCCACCTTACAGGCGATCTGGAAACATTTCCCCCCGACGTTGAGGTTGAGGACAAAGCGGTTCCGCTGGGACGGGACGTTGTTCCTGTCCTGCTTCCTATTGTCTAGGTCGGTCATCGAGCCCCATTTCTTCACCAGGTTCTCCTGTGCGAAGGGGATATACTCGTCCTCGTTCTTGGGGGCCTGGCAACACTTGCGGCACTCCCCGATTTTCAAGTTGGCTGAGAGACTAAAGCGCCTCTTGGCGGCTTGCCTCATTGTACCTAGTGCCGCCTTGCCCAACAGCTCCCCTGCTACTGCTGCCGCCGGTTGTGCTGTGGGGTCCAGGAGAGTCTCTATTCTGTTCCCATAAGGCGTGCATCCATGGAAAAGAATTTCAGGGGCTCTCTAAAGGCCAGCAGGTGCCTGCCGAGTCACTTGCCCAATGCCTGAAAGTCAGCTTCTTCTCAAACTGAGCCATGGAACGTACAGTGGAGAGACTGGAAGCAACTGGACAGCAGCTTCTTAAAACGTTAATAAGATTATAGGGTTAACCTTTTCTCAAGGAGCTATTTCTGAAAGTACAGCCTTCATGTCTCTGACCTGCCCGCCTTTGGCCGTCAGCACACAAGCCCATAAACTGGGATGGGAGGAGAGAGAAAAAGAAGTATTTTGTATAGCGGGAGAACCCCAGGTAATTAAAAAAGGTTGTCCTGGGGGTACAGATCTCACAGCGTTTTATGAAGAGAAGAAGAGAGAGAAGAGATTGGATTTATACCCAGACCTTCCCTCGGAGTCTCAGAGTGGCTTACAATCTCCTTTCTCTTCCCTTCCCCGCAACAGACACCCTCTGAGGTAGGTGGAGCTGAGAGAGCTGTTCCAAGAACTGCTCTTGAGTGAACAGCCCTGAAAAAACTTGACTGACCCAAAGTCACACCAGCAGCTGCATGTAGAGGAGTGGGGAATCAAACCCGGTTCTCCCTGATTAGAGTCCATGCTCCTAACCACCACACCAAACAGTATCTCTGGGAACCCTACATACTTTCTCACTGACCTGATTCAGACCAGTAAGTTAATGTCACCATTGTAACCTACTTTGTACCTCTTTAAACATTTTATATTCTCCTATACATTTTATATTTTATATTATATTTTTAAAACAGATAAGTCTTTAGAAGGGAATTCCCTGGAAATATCAATGGCTATTTGGTGTAGTGGTTAAGTGTGCGGACTCTAATCTGGGAGAACCGGATTTGATTCCCCACTCCTCCACATGCACCTGCTGGATGACCTTGGGCAAGCCATAGCTGGCCACTATTGAAGAGAGGATTCTTAATGAGATGGCCCACCCTCCCTCTGATCCAGGGGGGCTCTTCCAATATTCCTAAAAGAACTGGGCTCACAATAGAAGAGGAGGAGGAGGAGATTGGATTTATACCCCGCCCTTCTCTACCCAAAGGTGTCTCAGAGTGCCTTACAATCTCCTTTCCCTTCCCCTCCCCACAACAGACACCCTGTGAGGTAGGTGGGGCTGGGAGAGCTCTTGACAGAAACTGCTCTTTTCAAGAACAGCTGTGCCAGAACTATGGCTTGCCCAAGGTCATCCAGCAGCTGCAAGTGGAGGAGTGGGGAATCAAACCCGGTTCTCCCAGATGACAGTCCATGCACTTCACCACTACACCAAACTGGCTCTTTAAGTGTTCTAAAGAGGTCATGGAAAACCAAGAGGGTTTTTGTAGACAGTGGGGCTCTTCCAATATTCTTTCTTTTTTGTGTATTTGTGTATACGTGTGTGTATTTACTTGTGAGCCTGGAAGTCATGGTGACTTCTGGCGACCCCTAGTGGGGCTAGGACATCTCGGAGAGGTGGCTTGATGTTGTCCGCCTCCGTGTACTGGCCCTGGTATTCCTTGGAGGTCGCCCTTCCAAGTACTTGCCAGGGTCGGCCCTGCTTAGCTTCCGAGATCTGTCAAGATCGGTCCTTAAAGGCGCCACTGGACTGTTTTGGATTGCTAGCTATGCTGGTTCTCCCATATTAGAGTCCGCACACTTAACCACTACACCAAACTGGCTCACTGGGTGTGTGTCTCTGTAACTTACCTGGCTGCTTCTTGCTCCTCGTGGCCCGACTGAAGGCTGCTGGGAGCAGGGGGCAGGGCTTGTTGCATGTGCCCGCCCCCTGAGCTCCTCACTGCCGGAGCTCCGCTCCTGTGCGCTCCCGCAGGAAATGACCTTATTTAAAACTTTTAAATAAGTATGTATGACTGCATCTCTCATCCAGATTGGTCCTGGCATAGTTGAGAAGGCGTAGTAGTTGATTTGGTGTCTTCCCATCTCGACTTACCCAATTGCTTGCCATCCTTCGACCACATCAAATTTAGCCCCAGTCAGTCTTGGCCCCATTCTGACATTACCAAGAGATATGCGTGGCTATTTAGCATTGGCTGGGACCCCGGATGTGCTCCTGGAAAAGCCATGGCCAGACCCCACCGCCCCCTTTCGCAGCCGTGGGGCGGCTCCAGCAGGCGGCCATTGTCAGTCTTGTCACAGGCTGCGACTGAGTCCGGCTGAGAGATGCCAATATGGCTGAGATGACGATAGTGTCCAGATCATGTGAAGTGATGGTATCCGTCTTTGCTCTGCTCTGGTTAGACCTCACCTAGGCGATTGGGTTCAGTTTGGGGCACCACAATTTAAGAAGGATATAGACAAGCTGGAACGTGTCCAGAGGAGGGCAACGAAGGTGGTGAGGTGGTCTGGAGACCAAGTCCTATGAGGGAAGGTTGAAAGGAGCTGGGCATGTTTAGCCTGAAGAAGAGGAGATTGGATTTATACCCCGCCCTTCACTACCCAAAGGAGACTCAGAGCGGCTTACAAACCCCTTTCCCTTCCCCTCCCCACAACAGACACCCTGGGAGGTAAAAGAAGAAGAAGAGATTGGATTTATACCCCACCCTTCCCTACCCAAAGGAGTCTC